ATTCACCACATAAGGGAGTGTATTTTTGATGATCCTAAATCGAGCTTCCAGTAGGGAAGATTTTAAAATATTCTTGTGTTGTAACAAAATGTTCCCTCTGGTGTTGTAATGAAAGAAAGAAAGAGAAAAAAAAAAAATCTCCTGGCAGGAAATTAATTATTGAGCATTCCACTGCTTGATGATGCTCTCCTACATTCTGTGCAGGCTTTCCATTTTTCTCTTTTCAGTATGTGGAGAAATTCACTATGGAGAATATACAAACAGAACAAAGAGCACAAAAATATCAGTTTATTATATGCATTTAGAAACTGAACAGACCTGGAGTAAGCAACTTGGTTTGTGCATCACCATACCTGGCACTTATTCCCTCTTTACATCCCCCTCTCCTCTTCTCCATCAGATTGTCACTTTTGCTTCTGTTCCCTGAAATCACCTCTGTTGAGAGCAGAAGCAGCATGCCTGGCTTTTAGTATCACTTACCTGCAACAGCTTTGAACCATCGCTTCCTTCATTTAAGGTAATAAAATGGAAAATCTCAGATGGAAAGGGAAAATAAAAGTCCATCATCCTATGCCTGTGTCTAAGTATCCAGCTGCAGTTCCATTTTTAAAATAATCTTTTTGTTCCCCTCTGTGTCCAGTCAGTTTAGCAAATTTCACCCCTGGCTGTCAGTTTCAGTCTCTCTGTGAAAAAGCAGAAAACCCCCTGCATGCCATAATTTCACCCATCAGTTACACGGCAGGATGTATAGCTCCTGAGGCTACTTCTGCACCCAGCACATGCACCTAGAACAACTCCTGAATTCAGAGGGACCATACTGCTGCAAAAGCATCGCCCTGAGAGCAGACACTTCCCAGTAACTGGATCCTTCCTGGATGTGGAACTACCAAGCTCGAGAGGGAAGATGCAACAGACTGAAACAGCATATGCCATCTTCTTATAGTATTTTACGTCAGTGGCGCTCTATCGCTTAGCTAAGACATAACGAAGAACTTTTCAAGAGAAATGAATAATTTTAGCTTTTTTTAAAAAGCAAAAAGGGTACGGAAAACTGCTACAGCAGATGGCTGTAGGACGCCTGCAGAAACTTTAATACCAGCTAGGCTGCTCAAGTCATCACCAAGGTCATCTCCACTTGGGATCATCTTGGGATCTTCCATCAGCTGCTGGACAGGATGGCTTGGACACAGCCTGACAGCAACGCCTCCATCTGCCTTCCAGACCTGAAAGAGCTCATATTTGGCTGCCTCCGTGCATCAGCAGAAGAAGGTGGTCAGTCTCCAGCTCTGCACACAGACATGGCCGGTGTTTTCAGGTGTTGTTCATATCTGCAAATATTTAGCTGCTGCCTCCCATCCTCTCCTTACAACACATTCCCTGTGCACAGCAGACACCACTCAGGTCTAAATACATCTCATGGAGTTCCCCAAGACTGGGAAGCACCCTCACATGTGTGAAATCTCCCACTGAAAGGGAGCATTCTGCAGTAAGGCAAACCACCAACTTCATAGCACCTACCCTCAACACAGCTGGTCTTGCAAGAGAGCAGGAGGTGCAGCAGCAGAGGACCCTCACCACCCAAGATCCTTCATGTGGCCCTGAGCATGGCCCCACAGGAGCTCTGCAAGTGCTGCTGGAAATTCTGCATCATCCTCGACTAGTTTTTCACCCTAAACTCATGACTTTCTAGCACATCAAAAGGTTATTGATTCTGCAACTGATAGACAAGGATACTAGCAGTGATTCAGCTTGGATTGTTTTGAGAGAATGAATTTTGACTTACGAAGCAGGAGCAGGTTGAATTGCTCCATATGAACACAGAGCATATGCTGCCATTTTACAGGAGACGACGCCGAAGAGAAGCACCGTGCTTTGCCACTGAGCTCCTGAGTGACAAAAATCACACTCTCCCAAGTATCAGACTCACCATCTGTAAAATGTTTTTCATCTCTAGAAGATAGTGTGAGAACTATGTGTTACAAATCATATATACTGTAAGTGATAGATATTATCACTTGCTTTGGAGCAGCACCTTAGAAGAAAAGCCTGTTCTCCCCTACAATAGCCCACAAGGGGCATAAAACTTCTTAAAACCCTATTTAGCAGTACAAGCAAGGTGACAACTAATATATCTCTCAAATTTCCTCTTGCATGGTAAGAAGGGAACAGGAAGGCTTTTTCATGAACATAATGTTATTCAAAGGAATTTGCCCTGTAGGATGACATTCTCCTACAGGCCTATAGGAATTTTAGAGAAGGCTGTGTGCATCTGTATAAATGCATTTTAAGTTCCAGAAAGGGAAATTAATTTAACTCCTTCTTCCACAAATGACTGAGAAGCAAAACCAAAACCATGTTATTTCTTTAAAGAACAGATTTCTATTCTATTCCGTCTCAAAAAAAAAAGCCTATGAATTAAGGATTAAACCTGGTTTAATCGCTACAGTTTGCAGCAACAAGAGATGAGAGGCAGGCCATCCATGTCAATATACAGAATTGAAAGAGACAGAGCCAGGAGTCAGAAATGTAGAACTATGCTGTAATGAGAGACTGTCAAAACCCAAGGGGAGTTCAACCTGGAATCAACAGCCCCGGCTGTACTCAAAATCTGAATTTCAGAGGTTATGATGATGCATGTCAAAATGTTGTGGAGTGACCCCATCAGCAGTTAACTGCATTAATACAACATCAGAGCTGAAAGGATGGCTAATTTGGGTCTCTTCTTTTCTGATTAATTATACATCTTCTATAATCAAGCCAAACCAAAACTAATTTCCAGCAACTGTACTGCCTCTGCCAGTAGACAGTGCTTTAATATCATTATGCATAAACAGGAAAAGATAATGACCTATAATTCAAGTCTATTATTTCTATGGAACATGAAGATACATTGCCGTATAATGTGAGCTGTTGATGAAGATTGGTATGTTATATTAAACGAATTGTTCTCCCATAAACCACTGCTGCTTTTTCTTCTTCTTGCTGTCCTTGTCCATCACGAAGAGTTAGCTGGTGAGGGGCAAACTTAACTTTGGCGGAACTACTAGGTAGATGCCAAACTACCTTCAAACCTAGGTGTTTGCATCCTTTCCGCCAGCACAGCCTGTGGCAGAAGAGGACAGCATCTCGTAGATAATTTTATCCAAAAGCTCTGTGTTTATTCAACAGCAGCTCGTAAGAAGGTGCATTAAATTGGGTACTCAGGTAGCCACCAGCATCCCTCCAGATCCTGCTGGTACCGACCTGGAGCCGCATCCTGACCACGGCCGAGGATTCCCCACCCCGGGGTCGGTCGGAAGGGGCTCTTGCCCCCCACCCAGCTCCCGGGACGCCTTGCCCGGGCTCCGGGGGGATCGGAAGGCTAAGCCGCCCCTTACCGACAAAGCCGGGGCGGCCCCGGCACCGCTCGCACCGCACCGCCCCGCCGGCGAGGTCCCCCCGACGGGCTGCCGGAGCCCGCAGCCCCCTGCCCGATGGCCCTCACCAGGAGGCCGGGGGCGGCAGTGTGAGTGCCCCCCGCCTCTCCCGGGGCGGGGACACCGGCTGTGCCGCCGCCGCAGCATCCCCCGCGCCCCGCGGAACCCCCGCACCCCGTACCTCCCGCGGGGGAGAAGGTGGGGGGGGGAACTTTGGCTCCTCCGCCCCCGCTTCGGGGAGCCCGAGGGGGCGGCCCGGGGGGCCCGCGGAGCCCCTCGGCACGGCGCGGGGAGAGGCGGGGGAGGCAGGACGGGCAGCGGGAGAGGAAGGGGAGCGGGGCGGTGCGGGGGCGGAGGGAGGGGTTTCTTGCGG